CCCCGGGACATCGCCGCGCCGGGAGGCGGAAACGCTCCAGCCTGGCTCCTTCCCAGTCACCGCGGCCACCGGCACCGTCCCGGTTATCAGAGGGTGCTCACACCATTGGAAACTGGGACCTGGCTCCTGCCGCAGCCAGAGCAAGAGCAGACTCTGCCCGGGAGCCACTGCTCTGCCGGGCTGCTGCGAGACCGTTCCCCGAGCAAGGAAACGCGGCTGCTGAGCCCGAACCAGGCAGGAGGGACGCGGCAGAGAAAGCAGGAGGGAGCTCGCCAAGCCCAGCAGCGCTCGCTCCCTGCGCTCTCTGGTCCCCCGGCTCCTGCAGCCCTCACCAGGTCAGCCCTCGTACCCTGGGCCTGTGGCTACGGCCGCTGACTCCTGCTGCCCCCCAGGACCCAGCCCGCTGTCCTCAGCCCAGTGCAGACCTGGGGAGGGATAAGCCCAGCCCAAGAGCCTCCCGTGTCGCTACAGACCGAGCTCCCACGGCCTCCTCAGCATGTGCCCAGCTCCGACAGGACAGAGCGCGTCCTGCACACCCCGCAGCTCAGCAGCCAGGCTTGGCTGATAGGAGAAAGCGTGTGCCCAGCCACGCTGGCACGGAAGGGACGCTGGGGACAGGCTGCTGAGGACACCTCCCGCCCCCCTTCAGTGCCATATAAGCTGTTTTATAAAAAGAAAATTACTCCCACACGGTTCTCTGCAGGCAGCTTAGGAGCTTGTGGGCTCTCCCATCCGAGCTCTGGCTCTGTGGCCAACCCCACGCAGCCCAGCCCGCACCTCCCCACACGCCGTGTCTCCCCCCAGCTCTCACCTGGTACAGGAATCTTTGGCTGAACTGCTGCATGGCTCCTTGGAGCTGATTTCGCTGGGACTGCCACTGCTCATAGTTCCGGACGTACTCGGCCGTGGGGCGCTGCCACGTGGTGGTCCGGGTGTTGTGGTCCACGTAGTAATACCTGCCTCGAGGATCTACGCGTTTCTCCCACCTGGAAACACCAGAGGAAGATGTCACTGATGTCCCCAGAGAGTTCGGCGGGTCCTGCTGGCAGGTGCCTCCAGCTGCCGTGCGGCAACTCAGCACAAACGCTGGTGCGAAGGCAGCGGAGAAAAACCCCGTCGAGGTCAGGAGGCACAGAAGGGACAGACCCGGTGGCACACAGGGAACCTCCCGCTGCCCTCATCTGAGGCTGCCCCTGGGCCCTGGATGCAGCCGGAGAATATCCAGCCGCTGCCCCAGGCCGAGCTGAGAGCACGACCGAGAGGAGCAACGGGGCTGCGAGGCGCTCCCCTGCTGCCAGCTCCCACGCAGGGGCTGGGCGGAGGATTTGTGGCCTTGCGGAGACGCGGGTGAGAAGAGCAGCTCATAGTCCTGCGAGGAAGGAAGACCCAGGAGCTGCCTGGGCCCGGGGTCCCGCTATGGAGACTGATTTTTCATTTCGCCCTGACGTTACAGCTGACTTCAGACACTCTCCGGCTCCTCTCACGAGACTACGACACCCTTTAACGCGAGGGCTCCGTTCCTCGCTCCAGCCTAACTCCCGTTTTCACAGCTGAAGAGGCTCTTTTGGGCAAAAATCCACCAGAAGAATATACAAAAGACTGGAAGGAGCTCCCTGCAAGGGCATCAGATGCGATGCCTAGACACGAGCAGAGCTGGCCCCGGGATGCCGTAAGCTCCAGAACAGCTGACTGCTGACAGCGGCGAGGCACGGCGTCAGAGACCTGCGCAGGAAGGAAGGAGAGCACCTGGGCTACCCCCACCCCACCCTTCCAGGTAAGAGCCTCCCTCCTTTAACAGCAGACAGATTTCAAGCTGTCGTAGGATCAGAAAGTAGCTGGAGATCACAGTGTGTGCCCACAGGAACCTGGCGGCTCCCGTGGAGAAAAACATGACAGGTTTGTATTCCGCTTCCACACATGACATTGGTGGTTCAAGCACCCTTCAGTCATTCCAGCCTTGAACAAACTCAGTCTAGAGAACAACAACAGTTTGGCTGTATCGAGTTCTCTGCTTTTAGGAGCACAAAGAGGTGAGAATTCAACAAGCTGCTGGAAAGCACGTGGCCCCCAGGCCTTCATACAGCCCTCGCGACCTGAAGACTTAACTCCTGCAAATGAAAGTGTGGCCCTCCCGGACAGGAGCTCTGTGGAGCGCTGCCTGCAGGACTCCTGGCGCTCAGCAGCATCGTCCGCTCGAGCACAGGCAGACCCCGATGTGGCTGAGAACACAAGAGGCTCCTCAGAGAGTCCCAGGTCCAGCTCCAGGTCTGGGGCACGCTGAGTGTGCCTGTTTCTGCTCACCACGAGCTCAGCCCTCGTCTAGAAACCTCTTGTTTTTCCAGGTGACATGAGGCCCACCTCTCCCTTCTCCTGGCCCTCAGGGGCACTTTGCTGGCGCCCCGTCCCAAAGGCCCACCCCTCTGCTCTGCCCACACGTGGCTGTGCTGCTGCTCATGTGTTCAGTGATTTCCATGGGCTGTTTAAAAAAAAATAACCCTCTAACAGAGGTCAAAATGCAACAGACTGGAAGGCCTTTTTCTTTTTACAAATGCTGAAAAGACCTTTCTGAGGATACAGCATGTGTTTTCAGGCCAGTAAACAGTTGGTCATCTCACCCCATTTCTCTTTAGGAATGAAAAGACCTTCCTGCCACCTTCCCTACTCTTGCACAGACTCTTGTGTGTCTGCTACAACAAGGTCGTTCAGTATCCGAGATGCCAGCTGCCCCCAGAGCCCCTTACCCCGGAGGAAGGGGTCTCTCCCACGTGGTGGTCTTGTTGTTATGGTCTACATAGTAGACTCTACCATTAGGCAGCTCTCGCTGTTCCCACCTGCAAGAAAAAAAAAAGAAAATACCATGAGACAGTCAACCCTTGCTTGCACAGGGCCAGAGCCCTGGCTGAGGTGGAGCTACCAAAACAAACCTTCCTCTGCCACGCTGGCCAGAGCGGCTGCGTCCCGCTGCCAGGCTCCCGTCCCCACCGCCCCTGGGCCAGGGGGGAGCACAGCTCCCCTCGGGAGGGGGCCTGGGGAAACCCGAGGTGGGCAAGGCTGCGCCCGTCCTCTCCTCAAACAGAGGTGGAGCGAAGGGGCTCAGCCGGAACAAGCAATGTGGATCCAGCAGCCTCAGCAGGGCAGTGAGACCCAGAGCCTTGCTCCATGTAGGACCAAGAGGCTTCACAGGCACCTTCCTCTACTGTAAATCATCTGAACAGCCTCCCTAGGAAAACCGTTTGCACTTGTGCCCACCGGCTCGGGCTGCAGCTGTGCAGCCAAGGCTCCCCCACGCATCCGCGAGCTGTGAATAATTAATAATCACCTTATTACCAAGAACAGCCAGCGAGCTGCATCTGGTGGATTAGCAAGCCTACCTCCTTGCACTGCTTAGCTACAGCACTCCAACCTTCCTCTAAAATAAAGAACGAGAGCAGGTCTACATGGCAGTTGCTGGGTTTGCCAGATCAAGACTACCAGAGAGGTGCCGCAGCAGCCTGCGTTCTGAAAACAGGCACCATGTAGAGCACACATTCCTCATTTCCTCCAGAAAGTAGGAGGGTCAGCGTAAGATTTCACACAGGGTCAGTTTTATGTCTTGTGAGCTTTTGATGTAGTTTTTGTTTGGTTTCTGCTAATACATCTTTAAAGGAGATCCTTTGAGTTTGGGCTGGGGCTGAGTTTTCTCCTTGGCAGCCCTCCTGCTCACTGCTGACAGACACCGCTTAAAAACATCGCCTGGCCACGAGGCACTTGGTTCGGAGGTGGCCCCTAAGGGGAGCCGGTGCGATAGGGAGGCCTGGCTTTACCCGGCTGCACTGAAAACCATTCCCTGCCTTCATTCATTCATGGAAGTGTACGCCCTGGCAGAGGTAAGCGCTCCGCGGGACACCCTCCTTCCCCGTCAGCTTTTATCCTGCAACAGAGAGGCACAAGCTGGCAGCTGCTGACAGATGAAGTGTTCTCCTGCCACCCTTCTGCTCCCACGGGTCTCCCAATTCAATCTTCACTCTCAACTTACTGTCACAAAAAGCCCCAGGAAACGAATAAACCCACTTCCGTTGTGACAGCAAGGGAACAAATCCGGGCTTGCGGGAAGCAAGTGGCCCTTGTGGAGATGCTCTAAGCACTAACGGCCCATTGCCGGGGCTTGCACCATCCCTGCTCACCCCCAAACCTTCCCAGGGGAGCACGAAGCCACCAAAGGGCGACCCCAGCCACAAGCACACAACTCCCGCGACCACAGGTCACACTGCAGCCTCGACACCGCTCTCGAAAGGTGGGAAGGCAGAAACGGGGAGAGCTTCAGCCGCGTTCCCAAGCCCTGGCAGCGTGTCGTCAGCTGGGGACCCCGATGGTCCAGCAGCCACGCGGGCGGCCTGAAAACCCTCTGCCCTGGGCAGAAGGCAGTCCTGAGATCAGAGTCAGCTCCCTGAAAGCAGGAGGGGAACGTGAACGCCAGGCTCAGGGCTTCTCAAAAGTGCTGCCTGCTTCACGCATCTCCTGAGACTAGGTAACATCTGCAGATGTTGCCACCAGTCAGCGGTGCTGGATCTTCCTCATCCCCAGAAGAGATGTAGGGCCACCAGTGCTTCTCTCTGACAGAGAGAGCCTGAGGCAGGACCTTCCGTGCCCGTAGACTCCGACGGCGAGGGGCTGCCCAGCCTAACACCACCCAAAGGAGTGACCCTGCGAGAGCAGAACCAGCGCTCGCTGGTGCCGTTGGGGCATCAGGATCCTCGTCCCTCACCCCACGGTCAGCCCTTCCCCTGGGCTACCCCTGGGCAGCACTGGGCCTCGTCAGAGGGGAAACGCCGGAATTTTCCTCTTCTCCAACAACAAACTCTGTGCTTCATATGCATAAAAGCACCAGGACAGCTAAAAAAAAAATAAAATATTAAAATCACTGCAGAGAAAATCAGCATAGCTGGGGTTTTTTGAAGACACAAGCGTCTCCACCCCAAGACGGACGGCAGGGCTCCAGGCACCTTCAGGCTGAAGGCAGGGCAGTGGAAGTGCCGCTGCCCGCAGAGCTGCCCACTGCAGGCAGAGCTGTGGGAAGCCCCATCCCAGACTCGCCGTGCAGGTGCTTCGGGCGGCCGCCAGCAGCCAGCTGCGGACCCAGCACAGAGCTCAGGCGGAGGAACGCTCTTTGCAGATGAAACTCCAAGGCCCGGCTCCCTCCTGAGACTTCGCAGGAGCCAGTGTCCCACAAAAACCCTTCAAGCATCATCTTTGCAAGGTCAGCTGTAGGTAACGGCCTCCTGCGGATGGATCCGGAGCCTGCAGCGCCGCTCACTGACGGTGAGGACACCCCCCGTGTCCCGCCGTTCTGCCACGCCGACACGGGGTGCTTCAGAGGCGAACGGGACCTCAGCCTCGTGCACACGGATCCAGGGTGCCAGCAGTCGTTACCGGCAGGGACGGGACCTCCAGACTCATTAACGAGAGGTTCTCTGATCAACATGGCTCCGAGGACTTGGAAGTCCTTTATGACAAGAGGCTCCCGAACCCCCAGGTACCGTTTCTGTGGCTGTAGAGACCAGAAATGCCACGATGAGGACTCCTCCAGGGCAGAGGGTTTCTGGGTCCCGCAGATACTCCTCTGGGTGCCCTTGTGACTGTGAAGAGCCACACAGGACTGGGGAGTGCCACAGGTGGTGGCAGCTCCTGATCCGTGTCCTCTGTCCCCGTCTCGTACCCTACACAAGCTGGTGACAAGCTCACACGCTCCTCAGGTCAGCAGCTCCCCGGTGATCTGAAAAGTGAATTTGCTGAGGGCTGCCTCGCCCTCTGAACTGTGAATCCCGGCCGCTAAGCGGCAAGCTGTGATGAACTGTTATCGCTGACACACGGTGACAGCCTGAGAGACGGAGGACAACCCCTCCTTGCTCAGACCACTTTGCCCAGCTTGCCGCAGGCTCCCCTGTGTCCCATCTGCCATCCCGTAAGGGCCACAGCTCAGGTGGACACACGACAACGGGCTCTTCCTCTGGGGACCCGCAGTCCAGCCAACGTTCCTCCCCAGTGCCTGCTGCCACGTCGCCCCTAGCGAGGCAGACGAGGGCTCTAGCGAGCGTTAGGTGGTGGGAGCTCCCACCCACGTGCACGTTGGTGCGAGCGCGAAGCAGGACGACACGTCGGCCCCTGCTCCCCTCTGACTGCCCGCGAGGCTTGTGACGGCGGCGGATACCGGAGCCGCGGACGGTGCGGAGTGGCAGCGCTGAGGCAACCCTGCAGTCCAAACAAAACGCCCTCCTTATGTAAGAAACCACAGCCCCACGCCTTCTGCCAGGCAGCATAATGCGCCTCTTTGTACGGGCGAGACAGTGCTGTGTATACACACCGCGCTAACGACCGTCTGTCCCCCGCGCAGGAGCATCACTGATAGGAACCAGATGCAGGAGCCAGCGGCTCTTGTGCCCTCCCCCCTTTCGCTATGGGTCCTCTCAGAAACCCCCGAGCCCAGGGACCCCGCACCAAGGGCCTCGAGAGCTGCGACCGGCGGCTCCTGTGCCACAAACGCGCCTCGGCTGCGCAGGGAAACAGGTTCTGCCCAAGCCAGGAGGATAGGAAGGAGGGTCTGGGCACTGTCGGGGCTGGAATTACTCAGAACACCTTCCAGCACCCTCCAGCCCCTAGAACAGGCTCCCAGTTGTGAGAGAGAGGCCTTTGTGCCCGCCACATCTGGTGCAGATGTCCAGAGGCAGCTATCTGAGCAGAATAAATAGCTCTGAATCCCCACATGAACCCAGCCGCTCTGCGCCATCCGCACGCAGCCCGGCACGAGCAGGGAGGCTGCGGCTCAGCGCACCCCCGGCACGCAGCTAGGGAAAGCCACCTCCCCTGCGGAGCCGACGGGAACGCTCGCCACGCTCCCACGGGTGAAAGGAGACACTCGGGGAACAAGGCAGGGCTCACGCAGAGAGCAGGGGGACACGACAGCTTCCCGGCTCTCCCGCTCCGGAGTAACTGGCAGCTCTGCAGCGACATTGCTCCTGCGAGCGGCAAAGGCAGAGCGATCGCTCGTGGGCTCCGCGGGAGCTGGGCCAGCGAGGGGCTCCCCGGCACCGCCTCTGCGGAGCACGCTGCTGCCAGAGCTGAGGTGGCCTGGTTTTGTCTGCATCCCTTCTGCCTGAGACATCGCTGCCTCCACCAGCCCAGCCAGCCACATCCCCAGCTCCCAAGTTGGGCCCCAAACCACCAGTAAAAGCAATACCCGGGTGTGGGGAGCCAGACAAAAATCAGTTCTCAGGAGATCCCCAGAACCTCATTTATACCTCCCCGGGGCCACGGTGTTTTGTGCACTCCCTGTTTACAAAGCCCTGTTAGCCAGAACCTGGGCTAGCAGCTCTCAGGGCAGGGCCCGCACCGTGGAGAGCTCAAGGGACTCGATTCCCCGCTCTCCCTCCCCCGGGAACACCCCGATTCTCATTCTCCACCTGAGCGAGCAGGTCAGCTGCCACCCAGCCCAGCACCAGCACCAGCACGTGCGAGAGGGATGGTGCCCTCGCTCCCTGCTCCGGGCCCCACGGTCAGCACAGGGAGGGACAGAGACACAAGGTGCTCATCAAGCGTGTCTCCAGAGATCCAAATTCCACGAGCTCAGCACTGACGAGGGCTCACTACCCCTCCACCGCTCTTCTCCAGCTGCTCCCAAAGCACAACAGCTTTATCCTCCTCCCTGCTCTGACACGCTCGATTTAGCGGTGCGTGAGCATCGCAGGGAGACAGGCACGGGGAGGACACGGGCCACCCTTCCACCCAGCTGGCCCAGGTGAGTCTGACGTGTCTTAGAAAGCAGCACTTGCAACCTCCCCGAGCCTCCGGAAACCCTGATCTGAGACACCCGCGGGCTCCTCTCCGCCCCAGGAAAGAAACAACAGCCTGCTTCCACCTCGGGCTGTGCAGGGGTGGGGAGGAGGAGACCTTCAGTCTACCTGGTAAGAGCAGAAAAGGGGCATAGGCTCTGCCTGGAATAAAGACCTTTTTCAGAGCACTGGACTTTTCCAGCTGCCTGGAAACAGGAAGCGCCCAGGCCGGGGAACAGAAACCCTCACACACCCGGCATAAAGGCACACTGAGCCGTTAACCCTAATTACCTGTGACTGACACACCAGCGAGGCCCTGACCTTCCAGGCATCGCCTCAGCCAAAGGAAAATAAACAGCTCCCTTCATACGAAACACAAGCCATTTTCAACCCCCCCTCTTGATGCTTTGCATTTTCAGGCCAGAATTAAAGGTGTCTGAAATACAAGGGGAGAACAACCCAGCTGCAGCAGAGTGGGGCTGAGCCCGCCCGCTGCCCCCACGGCACCACTCAGCCAGCCCCAGCTCTCCCCCCAGCCCCTTCCCCATCCCGCCGAGGAGGAGGAGGAGGAGGAGCACCCACACCAGAGAGAACGGGCACAGCTATGTGAGGGTCCTGCCCACCTCTCCCCAGCAGCGGCTGGTGTCTCTGGAGCGCATGTTCGCGCCCTCCTGCTCCGCAGGAGCTCCCAGGAAACCCACACTCGCTCTTGGGTGTTTTCCTCTGACTGATCCCTTCGGCAGCCCCACGAGAGCAGAGGACTCTGCGGCTCCCCTGGGCACGGACGCCGTGAGACCACTTGCCGCAGAGATGTGATTGACTATTTATTGCCCCAGAGACCCACAGCAGACACAGATCAGAGCCCGGCGCAGAGGAGGAACCCACCACAGTGAAGCTGCGAGGGCGAGCGGGGGCACCTCTCTGCTCTGCCACTGTCACCTCCACCAACCCCTGGGGCAGCACAGCCCCCTCTCTCAAACACCCTCTTCTTCCAGCGCATGGCAGGGCCCCAGTTTGCCCATATCCCCCCAGTTGTCCTCCCAGGGCCACGCCTCCCTCCCCGAGGGCCACAGGCACGCTGTCATGCTGGCCCTGTCAGGGGACAAAAGTCTCAAGCAGAAGGCAGAGCTTACCCGGGGGGCAGAGCATCCAGGGCTAGCACAGCTGCCCGGGCTGGCGGGGCGCTGGAGCCGGCAGCTGCCTCCTCTGCCTCTCCAGAGCTGGTCAGGGCAGGAAGGGCGGGAGCGACGGAGCCGTCAGCCACGCTGGAGGCCACCGGGGTCGGTATGCTCGCTCCCGCCGACGGCCTTTCTTCTTCGACGTCTGCAGCACCTGCTGCGTCTCCGTTCACTGCGAAGGCAGAGGGCAGCGGCGTTAGCACCCAGCAGGGTAACGGGGGCCCAGCGGATCCACCACAGCCACAGGGCCCTGGAAGAGGAGCCTGGGGTGCGCGGCAGCCACACCACCCAGGCACGGGGCTCCCTGCATCAAAGGCAGCACCCCCTGTGCCCAGACACCCCGCCCGGGACCCGCTGCCCCTGCCTCTGTCCTGAGCCAAAAGCAGAGGGTACTTTGTGCTTGTGCTCAGTATCTTTTTGGCCACTTGCAGACATGCTGCCGGCCTGAGGGGAGTTCAGGTCAGGAGCAGGCGCTCAGGAACTGCTGGTGCAGCATCCCCCTGCCCCAGAGGGAAGCCCAGGCTCAGCACATCAGCTGCACTGATCAGAGCTAAACGTTGCTGGATTCCACTGAACTTTTGAAAAAGGGAAGGGGAAGAGACAGAGCAAAGGAAAATTACAAAGAAAACCGATGAGGAGGAAAATGCAGACCAAAAAAATGAAAGGGAATTTGTTTGACGAATATTTATTAGATAGCCAAAAAACCCTGAGTCTTGGCAGCCCAGCAGAGGATAACTTTCGCTACAAGACATCCTGGCTTCCGTGGCAAAGCAAAAGCATTAAAAACAAACCAGCAACAAGTAACAAAGAAATAAGGGATGCAGACAGAGCTCCACAAGTTAGAGCAGAGAAATGTAGAAAACTGTAAGGGAAGGATCTGTGTCTACAAGCCCAAGTATTTTAGAAATATTGTAGGAAAAAAGCTCCCAACAGTATAAACCCCCCCAGACGGGAGACTGAAGAGCTACAGACACTCTAGAAGAGGCAGACTGCTCGGGGCACTTCTGCTCTGCAGCTGGGGGCAGCAGGACGGCGTCCTCCAGCGCCGGGGCGGTCCCGGTGCACAGCCGCGGCAGCTAAAGGAGCCCTCAGGCAGCACCTATGGGTGATGAGGAGGACTTCCAGGTCAGCAGGTTCACAGCAGCTTCCTCCCCAGTCCTGCAGGACTCAGCTGAGGAGGGCTCTGGCTGCTGCTCATTTCTAGCAAGGCTCCAAAAGCAAGGTTCTAGAAGCTTCCACCATGTTGTGCCAGTCTTCAAAGGGAACCTGCAGAATGACCCAGGGAACTACACCATGATCGGTTTGATCTCAGTCCAGGAAAAAGCAGGGGAAAAGCTGATCCAAAGTTCACCCGATAAGGAAGGTTCCAGGGGGAACACAGCTAGGGCGAAGCAATGTGGCTGTGGAGAAAACACGCCACAAAATCATCTCCTTTTACTGTCAGATGAAATTACAGCTGCAAGTGACAAATGTAATGGGGCCGTTCTTGCAGCAGTCTGCTCAAAAAATGCACCAAACCGAGGAGGAAGAGGATGGTTTCTAGAGGCATTCCGCAGAGCACAGGACAGGGTGTTCAGCCCTAATCCCAGCCACCCGAAACACTCATCTCCCCATCCTCAAGTGTAAAATCATCGCTGACAGGACTTGCGGAAGGCACAGAGGTTGGCGAGTGGTAAACAGGGACGAGGACAGCACAGTCGTAAAGCCACTGGGGAGCCTGGGGCCAAGCCAATAAAATGTGCTTTAAACAAACCAAAGCCAAAGAGCCAAGTTGTACTCGGGAACAAAACCTCTGTGCAGAGCCCGAGGGAGTGTCCCCCCCAGAGCAGGGATGCCGGGAAGGGCTGGGTGGGCACAGGGGACCGGCAGCCCCGGGGAGGGCAGCACAGACTGTCCCCCCCAGGGAGGGACAGCTGCAAGGCAGCATTTCACGTCAGCCTCCCACTCCCCCAGCTCCCTCCCAAAATGGGTTTTGGCAAAACTGAAATTGCATTGCTCCAGGTTTTTTCCAATGAAATGGGGAAAAAAAAAAAATCTTCCTTTTGGGTTGAACAAAACATTTCCTTCTACTCGAAACAAAGCTCCCTGCTTCTCCTTCCAGGTCTCTGATATAAGCAACAGAAAGGAAAGGACGGGGCTGCCTACAAAAGCAGAGCAGAGGAGCGGGAGGTGCCACATTGCCCAGCCGGCTCGGGAGAGCCAGGGAAGGAAAACAGATAAACCACTTGTGGCTTCGTCGCCAGGCACTCAGCGGGCCCCAGCCCCTGCTCTGCAAGGGATTTATGGCGTTGTGGACAAACCCACAGAAAGACAAGAGAAACTTTTCCAAAAATAGCTCTCTGGTGTAAGAATCAGCCCCCTTTGGAGAGGTGGGTGTGTGCCTTCGCTGGTGCTCAGCAGACAGCTGCAGTGGGCAAAGGGCTCCAGACATTTTCACTGAAGACTGATGGGCAAATTCAGCTGAACACTCCCAACCCTGACAAAACGTCCATTCAGCTGTGACAACTGTCCTCCTTGCTGTGGCACCAGCAACACTGCTGTCCCAGTGCCCTTTTAAAAACTGGGAGCTGGATACGGTATTTTTTGTCAGGGCGACTCCAGAGAGGAACCACAGAAGTTATTCCCGATAGGCAGAACAGATCCTGCCACTGCATGCTGCGGAGCTGCCCAGCTTAACAGCACTAAAATCAATGAAAATCGATCAATTCGCAAGGAGGAAATTCCCAGGCGCTACAAGATCCGTTACCTGAACAGAAATTCATTTGCTCCCACCCGAGGCAGCCCCGAGCTCTGTCCCCCCGCCCAGGTTCACCTGTGCCGTTGGCCGTGCCGTTGGCCATGCCGCTGTGCTGCGAGCTCTTGGCCTGCTGCCGGTGCCGGCTCCGGGCGCTGGGACTTTGCTCTCCACTCCCCGTGTTTTGCCTGGCCGCTCCAGCTGCATGTCGGTGAGTCCTGCAAGGGGAAGAAACACGGGAGGTGGGACACGCCGCTGGTCCCGCAAAGAAAACCCCGCTCCTGCCTTTTTGCCTCGGTCTGGCACTGCTTCTCCCCCGGCACAGCCATCGCTCTGCCGAGCACGGCTGGGATGCAGCCACGTGCCTCCGCTCCTCCGGCTGTGCCCTGAACTTCCCGCTGCTTCCTCTGACCTGCCTGTCAGTGGCAGAGTCCCACGGAGGAGTAACCTGGGTGACAATGACCTTGGTTTTGTTGGTGGGTGCTCACCCTGGCTGCCCCATGTGCCAAGGAGTAGCCCTGGGAACTCATGGCCAGAAACCTGCTTGCCAGAGACCAAGCCACCACGGCTACCGGCAGTGTGCTCCGGCCACCCCTGCTGTAACGCTCCCAGGAGTGACCCCATGCCAGCACCCGCTCCTGCTCCGCAGTGGGAACCCTCACCGGCGCCTCCCGCCCGGCTACAAGCCTTGCACAAAAGCAGGTGAGGAAGGTGCAAGCGTTCGCTGCTGCCGGGCCAGCCAGGCCAGCCGTGGCCTCTGGCGGAGGAGGGAACAAGCGCCTGGGAATGATGGGAGCTGAAATCGTAGCACAGGTTGTGACCGGCTCAGATGGGGCTGGTCCATCTCTCACCATCCCTCTCTGTGCTGCGCTGGAGCTGCCCTGTCACCGCATCCCCGTGGGCAGAGCGCCAGGCAAACTCCCCCCCTCCAACCACCCTGGGCCCCCGAGGCAGGCCAAGGCATTCAGGAAAAGGCTGATTCGAGAAAGGCTTTCACGTTGCTTAAGAAGCCTGGTCCTTCCTGCAAGCAGGGAGGGGGGCGGGCAGGGTGGCAGAGGGGATGCTGCCTTCCCACGTCTGCGCCCAGGGGAGCAGAGGCAGAGCCCAGCCACCTCCACCCAGCATCACAGCCCAGGGCAGCGACCGAAGAGGGTGAGGACCGCAGGGATTAGGAAGCTGGTTCGCCCTAGCCAAGTTCTCCCCTTAAAAGGGCAAAACCCACAAACTTGTCCCCACGTCCCCGGGCTGGAGCTGGGAGGGGACAGCAGCTTGGCAGTGAGAGGGCGCAGCATCAGTCATGCCACCCTCACCAGCCCCAGCGAGGCCGTGGTTCCTCCCACCGGCTGGAAGCCGCTCTCCCTGGGCAGAGGAAGGGCTGGGATCAGGAGGAGACATGGGAAAGCAGGAGATGGCTGTTGAGAACAGATAAGAGCCACGGGCAGAGCAGCCTGTGAGCAGGAGCTGCTGAGGCCGTTTCAACCAGCCACGGCCCTTCCCAGGAGGGCAGCCCCACACAGGGGCTCCTCGGGGGGCTCCTCAGGTGGCGAACTCGCCCCAGAAACCCCGGCTACCTCCAGGACATCGCTATGCGTGGGGATTTGCTTTGGCCACCAGCACCTGGGGACTCGGAGCAGCTGCAGGCGCAGAACAGGCTGGGAGGTGAAGGTGGCCCCTCACTGCCCAGCCACAGGGCTCGGTGGGGCACGTGGGCACCACGCGCCTCCCAAAACATCCCCACGTTCACCCCACGGCAAGGCTGGAGGCACCGCGGCCGCCGGAGCTCTGGCCAGGGCGGAGCGGGCAGGTGGCACCAACCGCAGGAGCCGGTGCTGGTGGGAGCAGCCCCCAAGGCACGGGAGGGATCTGGTCCCTGCCCTGCTCAGCACAGATGAGCTCAGAGCTGGCCCGAGAGTTTTTAGAAACCAAAACAGGATGTTTCCAGGCTGCCAGCCGGCCACACAGGGTTACCAAGCCTGAATTAGCCGGCCCGCCGCCCAGCCCAGCCCTCCTACGAGCGCTCCCATCTGGGCATTGTCTTTTAATAGACACGTGGAAACAAACCCAGCGCGGCCACGTGAGAGCGGCAGGGCTGGGAACACGCTCTTAAAATAGGAGCGGGGAGAAAACAAGGCAGAGCGCCGATGGGAACGGCCTCTCGCAGCCACAACGGTGGGACGGAGCGGGGTGTGCGGGACCCCCCCGATGGGGGACCTCCGGGGGCTGCTCTGCCCCACAGCGTGCTCTGCCCCACGGCCCCTCCCGGGCCACAGGGTGGAGGGAGCAGACGATGCCAAAGAGGAAAGTGGCATCAGCCAAGGTGACATCAACCTTCCGGCTCCCCCCAGTTCTGCCAAGGCAGAGCCCCTGTGCTGCAGAGGCTGCCGCGGGCCCCAGGCACGGACCCCAGGAAGAGCCGCCTCCTCCCACCGCGGCGCCCAGAAGGTTCCGGCACGAGATGCCAGCAGAAGTGGCAGCACCGGCCTCAGCCTCCCTCGGCACAGCAGATCCCAGCCTGCGGCCATGGAGGAGCAAGGGCAGAGCACAGGGGGTCGGGCCACGACCACCGGGAAACGCAACCGGGATCACCCCAGCGCCAGGGGGGCAGCGGGGGCTCAGCTCCCGAAACACGGAGCTGAGAAATTCCCGCTGCAAAGCGGGGAGGAGGCAGCCACGTGTCGTCCTCCCCCCCGGCACTGACGCCCGCAGTGCTGGAGCAGAGGTCTGACCCCTGTGCCCCCACCCTGGAGCTGGGGCAGGAGGCACACCCCCTCGCCCCACGGCAGCGGGACGCTCGGTCGAAGAGGCACCCGGGTCCGAACCACCCTTCTCATGGCTTGTTCTCCCAGCCCCACGCAGCCCCCTCCGAGGCAGAGGAGCCCCCGCGCGTGCAGCGCCGCCTGCCGCTCCCTGCCTGTGCCAGGGCTGCAACTGGTGACTCACAGCAGCTCCCCCGGCCTTTCGCTGCCGCTGTGTCACACCAGAAGCCACAGGCCTGGGGACATCCCGCAGCCGCGCGTGGGGCTTTGCAGAGCGAGGGGTCTCACCACGGGAAATACTTCGTCTGAGTGAGCCGGAGGAAAGTCTCCCGCCTGCCCCCAGGGATGCTCATGCCCGTGGCTAGCTGAGGGGTGACTTCTGGCCGTCACAGGGGCAAAGCGAAGCGTGCTGCGCTGCAGAAACCCCTGGAGCTCGCGACAGGTGACAGCAGCTCCTCAGGGCTGTGCCCAGATGGCGACACCCGGCGCAGCTCGCCGCAGGGCGAGCGCCAAACCGGGATACTTCATTCCCCGCTGTCAGAAGAGGCCCCTTTGGCCACCACAAGACAAACGGGGGTTGTGGCAACCCTCTGGGCACCCAGGGCACCAGCTCCCAGGCGGGGACCTCTGGGCTGTTTTCTCTCTGCACAGAGGGCTGTGGAATTTCACACCCCGTCACCAAGATTAGCAGCAAATCCCAAAATGACATTTGTTCAGGAGAAGAAAGAGAAGCCCTAACCAAGCAGTTTCCCTTGAGGGGACAGTGTAGAAATAGCTGAGGAGCAAAGAATGACCCTTTTCTTTCCATCCTGCATGCGAGAGTTTGCCAGCATCCATCACCAAAGCCCATGAAAATAAACACGGCTCTGCATATAAACAGAGCAAACATCAAACAGCATTCCCATGTGCAAAGGGCCCCTACTCCGCTCCGGAGAGGCTGCTGCCTCCACGGTGGGTACGTAGAGCAGCGCTCTGCCCCACGTGAACTGCGGAGCTATGGCCAGAACAGCCCTAAACTCAGGTGAGCGTGGGAAGAACCGAGCACCAGGCAGGACGGTTCCCGTACCACGGCGGCCGCGGGATTTTCAGTGGCTGCAAGCACACCTGGAAGGTCTCTGAAGGTCCCCTGTGGAAGCACCGGCCAGACCTCACCACGCTCCTCGGGAGGACACCGAGAGCAGAAGCTGCTTTCAGGCAGCTGGAAAGCAGCCAGGAGTTAGAGGCAAGTTACAGGGCTGAGCCTCCCAAACCAGAACCTTCTTTTCAGGCTCTCTAGCACCTACTGAGAGCTGCTAAGTGGCTGCAAAGTCCAGCTCCCCTCAGGGCACTAAGCATTCAATCACCCCTTAGAAGGCTTTAACACCCAGGAGTCAAGAGGAACAGCCTCAACAAAAAGGCACAAACTGTGTTCAACAACCTGCTCTCAATTTCCTGTCCCTGAGTGGGAGATAAGCACAGATATGGAAGGACAGGGTCACTTTTTACAGCCAAAAACATTTCTCCCCTTCACTCATCTCTTGTATGTGCCCAGCAGATGAAGGAGAAGCAGAAAAGCTCGAGGTGTGGGGCTTGTTCTGAGTGTTCCTAAGCCTGGGGGCACGCAGAACCTCTTATCGGGCAGGCTGCAGGCGCCCTCGCTACAGGCACACTTCTAACCAGAACATCTGTATAGGCTGCTGGGCCACTGCCACGCTCTGGAAATATAAATAGGTGTTAAATTCAACTCCATGTTGACAGTGTGACACGTCTCTCAATAACCACAGCTCCAAAAGGAGCAGCGCTGAGCCACTCCAGCCCAGCAAGGCAAGGAAGGGCACGGTGCCAGGCCCAGGATGGCCTGGTGCCCAAGCATCTCATTTCCTTTGGAAGCAGCTGTTATTTCCCTGCAGCTCTGCTTGCTCGGCTTCTCTCACTCTCCCTGGACCTTCGGAAGCGTCCCCCTGTGCCCATCACCCAGAGCATTGTGCTTCCCAACGCCCGGTCTGGGCTGCACTCGAGGCAAGAGCTGGGGTCCCCGTAATCCCCGCTGGAAGCGTCCCCTGCAGAGCAGCCCTCGGCCGGTTTGCCTGGTCAGAGCCTGCCCCCCACCTCCCTGACAGACCATTCCTCCAGCTGCCAGCAGAGCAACCGGGGAAACCGTCTGGGCCATCACAGACCCGACAGTCCCTGAGAATCAAACACTTCAGGAGAGGCTCAGGTCAGCCGCACGCCAGCTCTGGCTGCTCTGCCGGGGGCTCGCTGGGACACCCACAGTGGGCTCCCACTGCACAGGGGTGACCCAGACAGTCCTCGGCTGCCTCACGGCCACCCCCCAGAAACGGGCTGAGGGGTACTGCCAGCATGGGACCCTTACCTCGGTCTGCTTCCAAAACAGTTTGTACTGGGAGGCTGGTGTCTGCCCTCCGTGGCTGCAGCCGCGCTGCTGGGCTCCCGTCCAGGCAGCTGGGACCCTGAATGGGTGAAGAAAAAGTGGGTGAAGAAAACGACTGAGGCACTAGCTTTTCCCTCCCTCCTTCCAGAAGAGACCCAAAAGCACGACAGCCCCATACGTCAGAGGAGAGAGCCCCTGCTCCCTGCCTTTACACTAGGTGCTCTCCTCTCCTCTCCCACCGCCGTGCAGCGGCACTGCCCCTCCCCACAGCGCCCCAAGGGCAGCCCTAGGGAAGGTACACGCAGGATTTGGCCAAAGCTGCCGCGTTTAAGGCTCCCAGATTTCACAGGCTTCACCTCCCAGCAAGGAAAAGGAGCCGCTGAGGGAGAGCAACACACCAGCCCCTGTCCCGCACAAGCTCTGCTCGCTCCCCTGGGGCCAGACATCAGCCGGTGCCTCCGCACACCCTCTGCACCAGGGACCCCTTTCCCGAGCGGTTTATTAAATACAGAAACCATTTCCCCAGCCCCCAGAGGAGAGCGAGGGAAGGGGCCGAGCCGTGCGGTGGCTGTGCAGGGCCTCCAGGCCTCTCGAGCCTCTCGACGCTCCCGCTCCTCTCCCACCCCACGCTCGCTGTCCCACGTGTGCAAGTGTGGGGCTGGAGCCTTACCTGGGGGCAGAGGCGGCTGCTGGCACTTGGGGTGCTTGCTCAAAGGTGCGGGGGGCCCGTGCTCTCAGCCCCGCTCCTCCTGTCCCTGCCTCGTGCTCAGAGCCGGCGCACGCATGCGGAGCCGGGCAGCACTCACCCTCTGTCACGGCGCTGCCATTAGGCAGGCTTCCCAGATCAACAGCGGGCCCGTCCAGGAAAATCGTCAGCTCTCCGCCAGAGACAACGCTGCCTTTGTTCTCCGTCTGCAGGTCCAGGGTCAGCTGCCTGTTCTCCACTGTGGGAGACGAGGGGACACGGAGAAAGAGACCAAGTCACCACGGGATGCCAGCCGTGATGGAGGATGGCTCTGCCACCCCAGCTCCCCCGTGGGATGGGACATCAGCCTCCCAGTCCCCCCCGGCCCCCGAAGGACAACATGCCAGTTGTCTCAGCGAGCCCCACCAGCACTAGCCCCACACCTACACATATCCACCAGCATCACCAGCCCCACCACCAACTCCTGGGGAAGACCCTCCTTCACCAGGCACCGCTCAGGACCTGCCCCAGGGCCCCCGGCTGCAGCGCAGCCGAGACCACCATCGCTCACAGGTCCAGGAGCTGGGGCTGTAGGGGAGGTCGTGGCAGGGAAGTTGAGGAATTCGGCTGGTTTGACACAGGGCAAGATGTGTCCTTGTGAGGGCAACCACTGGCAGGTGCCTGGGACACGAAGCAGGCAACGGTGCCTGAAGCCCTGGCCTGCTGCAGAGGAGCAAGCAGCATCTTTCAGAATCGGGGGTATCCTCATGCCACCTAGAAAACCCAGGCAAGCGGCAAAGGCAAACCCCAAGCACATCCCTCCGTCCTCATGCCACGTTTCAGTTCCCCTGAAGACGCCAGCACCAAGGGCCGTCCCCAAGCGCAGAGCACCGCCGCGCTGCAGCATCGGAGCGCCTTCGCAGAAGCTTCTGGAGCGCGTGGCGTGGGCTGGGAGGCGCCTGGGGACAGCTGCCAGCTCCACTCCCCTCCCTCGCGAGCCAGCTTGGCTCCAGCAGCTCAGCGAGGCTTTGCCAGTCACAGCTTCGCGCGCAGCTGGACACTGCGGCTTCGCTCAGGGGCGACGGGACCACCGCTCACTGTTCTGCCCGCGGCACGGCGCGAGGGGCCGCAGCGGCGGGGCAGGGGACC